GTCCTGGATGCTGCAGTTTTATCCAGCCAAAGAAGTGAAAACCTTTATTTTTAGTTGAATACATCATGTTGTGTCCTTAATGGAGCCTGCGGTCCAATAAATCACCTAAGTCCTTCGTACTTCTTGTAACTTGTGCCATGGAATTTTGGAAAGTAAGTGCACAGGCTTACATTTATTTATATTCAATCTTGTGAATTTTGGCCTGATTCCTCAAGTCAGTCTGGATCATTTTGTTTTCTGGGTCTGGTACTTTATTCCTTCAGAATTTGCCAAGGAGGCCACCAGGGTCTCTCAGGGAAGAGAGGACAGCATCTTGGACTAAGGTGGCATGAATTGGAACAGAAAGAGGAGGATGGATTCTGGAAGTATTCAAAGGCTGAGCTGATGAGTTGCAGGCAGTAAGAAAAATAAGGCAACTAAGTGTCGTATCTGGTTAGGTGCCTGAGCAATGGCACTGGGACAGTTCCATTCAAAGATGGAGTAAGACTGAGGTGAAAAACATTTATTAAGAAAAAATATTTCACTCATTGGCCTTATAGCAATCTTTATTTTCTTCCTCGTAGTCTCTGTCTATGCCAATATTGACACTAATATCTAGAGGTAAAGGGCTGAGGAGATGGCCCAGCAGCATAAGCATCTGCCTGGCAAGCGCAAGGTCCTGAGTTTGATCCCCAGTACCACTGGAAAAAAAATATCATAGAAGCAAGGAGCAGGCTGGGAAGGAGGTGTGTGCAGTGCATGCAGAACAAGACACAGCCGGCGAGGAGGCGCAGCGGTGGGTGTGTGGCACAGCGAGGGCATTTTCTTTGTAAACCAGACTATAGAAGCCACTTCTGTATTCCTTGCAAACGCAGAGCCTCAGAGGTGACCCTGTTGAGCTATGCACATGTCTGAAGGGAATAGGAATGAAAGATGTTCCCGGTCTCTTTCAGCTTTTATCAAATACAAGAACCAGAGGGCACGATCCAAGCCAGGGAAGGACGCTGCCCTGGGGAGTCATGGGTGAGAGTATTAACCAGGAGCAGTTAATCTTTGGAATATACTTGTAGAAGGGAGCAGTAAAATAGCGTCCACGCTTCTGAACAGATTTTATATTTAGAACCCAATGAACTGGGCTGCGAGCACCGTTTCCATGGCCAGGCTGCGGCCTTTGCTATGCTGTGGGACACTGGCCAAGAGATTTGCTGTGTAATGCGGAATCCCGGTGGACTAGATGGGGGGCATTCAGACGTTCACTTTGTGCAGGACTTTCAACCAGGTCTGCACACTGGAGTCAGCTAGGGGAGCTTCTTTCCATTTATTTATTTATTTTTATTTATTTATTTTTTTCCGTGAGATCACTGGGGCAAGTCTCTCAGTTGTCCCT